GGGTTGTACATATATAATATAAGAAACCAATAGCTGCCCATACAACCAAAACAGTGCATTATTTTAAAATAATATTATCTAGATTTGGAAAATTGTCAAAACTTTGTTACATATTTTCAACATTCAAATTGCACATATTCTTAACTTTGGATCAGGAGTTTGGGGTTTTCATGAAGCACCTGATTGATTGTTTTGTGATATATTTTGGAATTAACAACATTTACTCCAAATGTCTTTGTGAATAATGATATGGATAAAATTAATGTAAGGAGTACTACATACATTTGTATGTTTAAATAACAGACTTACGTAATAATGTCACACTTTTTAGTTGAAATAGGGAAGAAGCTATAATTGCTGTGCAAATATTGTCAGAAAATATACTTTTTAAATATCGATTTTGCTATTTATACTATATGAGAGTGAATTTTGCAGATTCCATTCTAAAATATAACAATTTTAAATTGATGAATGTTATGTTGCACTGGGTTATATTTTTGGCATGTTTAAGGATGCTAGTACTTGAGTGTATCTGAATGGGGCTTGACTGATTATTAATGAGGGCCCGTTTGGTAACTGTGTCAGGCGAAGCTGGACCGGGGTTGAAGATGGGGTTTTGACTATTGAAATGGCCACGGATTGAAATGTTGCAGAAGCAGCGTTTGCACTTTTTTAAACATTTGTGATCAGTTTAAACTTGACGGAGATTTGTATAGATAGGGGATTGGGGAATGTGGAATTTTTCAGATTATGGAGGTGCTTGTGTTAATAATTGCATTTAGATAAATTTTATCTGATTGGGTAGTTAATGGTGTGCGGTGTTTCCCAGGTGATATATCGTGTTAAAAATGGCTTCCACAGCAGATTCAAGCAGTCCATTTTGTGTACGATACGAAAAGATCTTGAACATAGGAAGAGGAAGAACTTTGTAAAGGTTATCCAAGATTCGTGTTTTTGAGAGTCTATGAGAGATACATAACTAGGGACATAAGGACATGGTTATGCTTCAGGATAAAAGAGAGTGAACCGCAACATTAGGAGGTACTGTGTCTTAATGACATACATACTTTTTCTTTGATACGGGTTTTAAGATAAGTGTTTGAATTTATTTGCTTTCAATGATATATATTAATCATGTATATTAAACATTGGTAATTATTAAGCTTGTTGAATACTTTCCTGCAGAGGAACTGTTAGATAGCAATAGTGTGGTATAAGCTATAATCTAATCTTATTTTTTTTTATTAACTAGGATGCTAAAACTTTTAACCTATGAATTTATTGTATTAATATTTGAGCAGCGGTTGTGGAATGACGGTTATTTACTGATCAGATCTTAGTGTGCATGTGTCCAACATTTAGTTCAAGACCGTGATTAAGAGCTCGTGGTTTCGTGATGAACTTTGCTGTCTCGATATAAGCGGGGTTGCTAAGAGCATTTAAGAACTTTGAATTAACTGATTTTTTTTTCTTATCATTTCATTCTGGTAAAGATACATCCTGCAATTGTTCCTGTACAGTTTTATTTTGTTTTTCCCAATGTATTAAATTGCTGTAGTCCGTATACAGGTATTGTGTTGTTCTATTCGGTATCCCAGCTCAGATTTTCATTTGTTCCACACCTTAATTTTAATTTAATAATCGCTCGATCTGGGCTATAACATGTGATCGATCATGCTATAGACAGCTATAACAAAGAATGTACATCAAATAGATGATACGAAGTTGACGATGCGTTATTATTCATAGACCCCAACGTGAAGATATTTTCATGCAAGAATTATTTTTTCTAAGTAAAGTTGATTTTACATGAGAAAATATTAGATAATCCTTGGCCAGAAGTGCGAAGCGAATGTACAGATACGTCTGGGCGACGCAAAATGTCTGTTCTAGTTTGAAGCAACACATTTTGCACCAGCACACTTTAAGGTTTCTTTTCGATTTTATTTGTCAAAAAGGATGTTTGGATGAAAATCTCTTCCTTCCGTCAAAGCGCCATTTTTTACTATACAATTATCGAGTTAATATAGGTGCTAAGTTATGCGCTGCTGTGTAAAAGCTGATTGTAATAGCCAAGTCGAGCGACTCCTTAGTACACATGATACATTTATTTTTACAATTCCCTGGAGAAATTGTAGTTTCATCCTGACTTTTCCATTCGATGAAGAAATAATTTGGCCAACTCCAATATCTCCTTTTATACTAACGTTGACGCTGTCAAAACACGATTTACCTCCGATAAGATAATGAGGACTGACAAATTCAAGGTGAACGTGTTATGTCTTTCCACCTTCCTCTTAAGGCAGAATCCGTCTTGAAAGGAATGCTTCTGGGTAACAAAGGGGCTGTGTTTCCCATCACATTGTGCTCGACCAAATATGGCGTTTGGATCGGCAGTGTGTGTGAGAGTATGTGTATTAAAACTTTCTTCTCCTTTTCCATGAAATGCATGACTCTGGGTTTAAATAGTACGGGATGTTTGGATAGTGGGGCAGTGGGGTTTTATAGTAATAATGAAGCGGGTGTTGGATAGTGAGGTGTGTGGTTGATTGCAATAAATTTTTAACATTAAGTGTTTCAAAGGCTCAATAAAAAGAACCAAATTATAAACCTAGGCAAAATTGATTTCATTTTTGGTTTCATAATTTTTTTCTTAAGATTGCCATTCCTCATGCTAAATATATGCACCATTTTAACATATAATTTCTCTTTCGGCTTTAAGTAAACTGGCATAATGCCAGTTCCCATTTGGTTCTCAAGTGTTCCCTTTGTGTCAATCTAATGCGTAATGCCAATTCTTGTTTGGCTCTCAAGTATCCTATTAAGTAAACCTACGGCGTAGTGTCAATTTCCATTTGATTCTTAAATGCCTCAATCACTCTTACTTTCATTGGTGTATACAAATCTAGATATAGTCAAATTTTACTCCAATCGGATTAAAATCAGATTTCCACTTTACCACATTAAGAACAGCAGCCGCTTTAGGGTCATGTTGTGGTTACCTTTGAACTAGCTAATGAAAATGCAACTTTCAGAAAATTGAAAGTGAATCAAATCGTTCGGCACAAATTTATGTTCTTCAGTCATACTACTCAGTCTCCCAAACGTGACGATATAAGACTTTAAATGATTGGCTGATAAAAATATCAATTATTGTAATAACAATGGTCACCAGAACATGACCCTTAAGCGGTCTCTGACAGATCTTCATCCTGGCCAGTAGAGATTTGATTTTAATCAGATTGAATTTACTCATAAATGCATATTACAGACTGAAATCTGTTTATGTCAAATTTAACAATCTTTATTAATGAAGCCTTGAAGATTAGGGCAAATTTAAGTGGTACAATACTACATGTTTGTATTTCTTTTACACTATATACACGAGTGATATATTATTGTTATATTATTGTTATAACATATGCATTTGGTGATATATGAATTTATTTCCAGTTAGTTACTCTAATGATTTATACATATCGTAAATATTAGGCAAAATACATTTCCTCTCGTTATCTTTCTGATAAGCTGTTAACGCACCGAATGCTAATTTTATATCTTTCAATGGCCGATGACCTATTTCTTCTTCTTCTTCTTCTTCTTTTTCTTCTTCTTCTTCTTCTTCTTCTTCTTCTTCTTCTTCTTCTTCTTCTTCTTCTTCTTCTTCTTCTTCTTCTTCTTCTTCTTCTTCTTCTTCTTCTTCTTCTTCTTCTTCTTATTATTATTAGAAAAATAATGTCACGGTTACAATAATACAGTCTCAAAAACCTTTTTTTTCTCATAAAAAAACTCGCAAATAGAGCCTGGTAGAATACCATTTTATTTTCTTGATTCTCGTGTAACTTGATGGATGTTGCGTAATTAGAACCAAAACAATTTATTTTGGGTTTAGTTTGGTGTTTTACAGCACAGCAAAATAACTGGATTATTTAGTGCTTTGGCAACCTTGCCCAAAGACACAATACGGTAGTCGATCTGGGCTGATCCAATTATAGGATTCAAACACACATCTTTGGACTGCGAGTCCAACATGCAGACCTGGTGAACCGGCTCCTCAGCTTTGAGTATCATCATTTATGAAGTACTGGCATTTTTATGATGACGATGAAACTGAATTCATGGCTATAGAAGTTGCAAAAACTATTATATAGAAATTAATTATCAATTATAAAACTGTTCCGGGTATCGAGGAAACTTGAACAGGTAGATGAAATATTTAATAAGCTATCTATTTAGGTGTTATGTTACATAGGCAGTGTACACGTCTCTAAAAATGCACGATTAAGTTATTACTAATAAGAAAAGAAAAGATATACGATTTGTTTCACATTTAAATCAAACCTTGTGTACTTGTCACATAATTTTAAAGCAGATATGTTTTAATCACGGTAGACGTTGCTGTTAAATAGAGACAAGAGACGTACTAAAAGGCAATATACAAGATTTGTTGTATTTATTGTTCAGTTGACACTACCTATTGGATTCAACAGTATTCTTGAGGGTCTTGAGAGAGAGAGAGAGAGAGGGGGAGAGAGAGAGAGAGAGAGAGAGAGAGAGAGAGAGAGAGAGAGAGAGAGAGAGAGAGAGAGAGAGAGAGAGAGAGAGAGAGAGAGAGAGAGAGAGAGAGAGTTACTTCTATGAATATGCTGTTTGGACTATACAATTAGCACAAACTTTTCGGGGCAATATATTCTCAGACATCGACAGGGGATGGAATGGACTTTACGTTGAAACAATAGATACCTCAGAAAAATGAGTTTGTGTTGTGCTTTTTTAACGTAGCTCTAAGAATTGTTCAGTCATATTGCTACAATATCTGCAGTGTGGCAGTTTATAGTGATGTCTAGCTCTGGTGAATCATGTCGCAAACATGTACCATGATGTCCCACCAAGTTACATTATCCTGTCACCAGGCCGACCAGTCGTATATTAACCTCTTAATGCTGAACACCAAGCGAGGCAACTGTTGCTAACATTTTGTAAAAATATGCCTTTAGTAATGACTCGGCCGGGTATCGAACCCACGACCTCCCGCATCAGAGGCGGACACTCTAACCACTACGGGCCCCGAGTGGCCCCGAGTGGCCCAGTGGTCTAAAGCGCTGTCCGTTACGGATCACTGCCATGTTACCTCTGTCTGCGTGTGTTCGAGTCTAGGATTCGGCGAATGTGGATATGTGAGAAAGCTTGCCAGTAGCTTCTCGTGGGTCGGTGGTTCTTTCCGGTGATTTCACGGTTTCTTCCTCCACCGTTAATATTGGCCGCCATGAATTGCCTATCGTGTGATGAAAAATGATGTTAAGCCCAACAACAACAACAACAACAACTCTAACCACTAGGCCACCTGAGCGGTCCTCACGTAAACTACGGAAAGACTAAGGAACGATTGAAGATGGATAGACAGACGAACAGACGTGTGATCAAAGTCGGGAAAACAACGTGTAACAGAAGAATTGTCAGAGAGAGAGAGAGAGAGAGAGAGAGAGAGAGAGAGAGAGAGAGAGAGAGAGAGAGAGAGAGAGAGAGAGAGAGAGAGAGAGAGAGAGAGAGAGAGAGAGAATTTGATATAGAAAAATCTCATTATTAAAGATTTTTTTCTCGTTTCAATTTCCCATGTAAGAATCAACAGTTTTATTTAAGACGTTTTTACTTGTCACTTGGATTTAGATTCCCACCCCAACCCACACATGTCCTCCAAACACGAAAAAGCGCGTTTTTTAATGATAAGTCTTTGCTCGTCTTTTCGCACGTTACGGTTTCTGCTTTTTTAAACGCCAACGCCAAAGATGTGATCATGTCAGTTCCTACGCAGGTAATATGCTAACGTCACATTATGAGGATTTGGGAGGGTCAAATTTCCACTTTTGTAAATTCAACTCTTACTTTGTAGTTCGAATTAACACGATCATTAATTACATTGTGACTTCATTTAGGTAACATGACTAATAGTCTAGGTGACGTGCCTGTGGCTTACACATTTTATTAGAAGTGTAAAAAGGAAAATACTTGAAAGAGAGATAATCGAACTTTGGAAAAAAATGATAAATCACTGCCAAATACATGAGACTTTTTTTTTAAATAAAAAATTGTTAGCGATTGATGACCTGCCAGCTTTGTATTGCAGAAAACCAACTCGATCGAATAATTGTGCCGTACTGAAAAAATCCCTTCTGTACAAATTTGACGAAGATTTAAATACTTATTTGGGTATTATTTTAGGAACATTTAGTAACAGTGTAATTTTCTAGTCACATTTATGTCAATTACCCTTATTTGGCAATAGATAAGAATAGGGTAAAAATAACAACAAAATTACTCAAGCATTTTTCGGTGAATTTTTTTTTATGCCTGGATCTTAACGATTTCCAACAAACAGTTTCAACATAGTTTTCTTTCTATTTTTAATCAATCATTAGTTTAGCATATGATAACTTCGCAAAGTTTTGACACGAAATGTTGCCCAGCTGTATGTCGACCATATTTTGCAATTCGTGGAAAACTTTATTTTGTCAGAAGACAAATACGAATACAAATTGGGCATGCCAATATATTTACTAAGAGATCATTCAAAAATTTTTACATTTTTTTGCGGATTCTTGACGGCTCAAATACTGGCATACTATTGTCATTGACATCATGACAACCGGAAAACTCGGCATCATGTTGGAGAACTTTCTTTATCTGGCAATATGTCGCCAGTGGCTTTTGTTTAGCTATCAGTTTAGTTCTTTTGAAGCCACCCTATCCAATTTAAAAACTACTTACATCAAAGATCTGATATCACTTTTCAACGAATGAATTAATTGCTGTCTTAGTGACAATATCTGGTCTGAAACTAATCAGCTTTTTAAATAATGTTTAATTACTTTCTCTCCTGGATCTTATATTTAATTTATAATGTATAGGTTAGATCACTTTTGCAAGCAAAATATTTCATTTTCATAATTTAATAATGAACATTTTATACTCTCTCTCTCTCTCTCTCTCTCTCTCTCTCTCTCTCTCTCTCTCTCTCTCTCTCTCTCTCTCTCTCTCTCTCTCAGTTGACATCGGAATGTGACAGGGAAATTTAAAAAAATTGTTTCCAGTCAAAGATCACTGTAATCTGTTTTCATCCGGCGGTATGATTTGAGATACATAAACAGTTCCGTCTAGACATGATAGAATCATCACGAGTGATAACAGAAACATGACGAGATGGCGCGCAGTTGTCCACCGAGAAAAGCTCGCACTTCAGCAGGGGACCTTTTTGTAAACGGTGTTTGCTTATGTAAATAAAATTTCTCATCAGGTTGGAACTTATCGTGTTTTTGGAGTTCAACAATTAATATCTTCTGTTCAACAATGTTGGTTTGAGTCATATACTAGGAGAATTTCAATAACTGTGTGACACAATTTTGAACTAAAGATCTTATGTAAAACTGGTTTCAAATATGTCCATATCCCTGATTTAAGGATTGCAGGACAACATGAAGCAAGCAATGAAAAATATGTGCTGGTCTTTTTAAACTGGAAAACAAGGATATACAAATATCAAAAGATGGTGAATAATTTTCATAAATTAAACCTGAAGAAAACTGAAAACTTTCTTTTAAAAAACGACAGGATCTCCTTCATCTCTACAAACTGTAAAGGTTTTGTTCTGCGCTTGAGCTGAACTATACCAGATACGCTTAACAATTATTTGGTTAGGTTTTCTTTTTCTTTTTTGGTTGGTTGGGTTGGGTTGGTAGAAAAAGTAATTATTTTTTTTAGTTAGGCTATGCCAACTTTATGTCATTTGCCCAAAAATGTGCATTTTACATCTAATATCTATAATGATATATTGAGACTGAATATATACGAAGACAAGGAGCTCTGTATTCTCTAGAAATCTCTAATATTCATCTTGTAATCTTTACCAAATTTTAGGAACTGTTAAATTTACTATTGATTTCCAGAATGCCACTGTAATTTTCGAAAATGAGGCTAAGTCGTTAATGGAGTGAACGGGAAAATTGTTATTTATTTCAAGTAAATATCGTTTGTTAACGTTTTTCGTATAACGCTGCCAGAAAAGTCGAAGGGAACTAACCCTAATAGCTCCAAATGATGGAATTTATGTTGTAATGACACAAACGATTCTCAACACAGCAATAGTTAGTTCTCTTTTAGGAAGTGTGTTGGTATACATGTGGCTTCTTTGAGACAATTTTTTAAATACTTTTCTTTTCTTGTAGAGTCATTTAACAGTTCAGATAACAACAGACAAGGAAGACGGATGTCTCTTCAAGGTAGACAACTCTGTAAATACTCAGTATTTAGTCCAAATATCGTCTAGTATACGCTACATTTATTAAATTTTTATAAAGAAATTGCCAGAGAAAACACAACAGATCTACAAATATGACGATAGTCTGAATTCATGAAATCTTGAGAATTAACTTTTGCTGTATTGTGACCTTTCAAAAAAAAACTATGGTTTATGTTCACACTAAATTAAACGTTTCCGTTTTATTAGGCAAATTTTATTAGCTGCTTTTTGAGAAATATAGGCAAAATACCAAATAACTAAATCGAACAAGTTATTGAGCGTCTGTTTCAAGACACAAACCACTAACAACAATTTGTACAATATCCCATAATATAGAGTTAACGTTAGCTTCACTTGACCAATGCAAGTCCTTGTTTTACATTTGAGACATCTGAATCTGAATTCTTTTTTACGAATTATATTTATAGGGCCTTTAGTGTGATACTTGCTATAAAAGTTGAAGTTATTATAATTTTCCTGCATTTTGCGAATTCATTTAGTTTATGGAGAACATGTTTTCGTGAACATGTTTTCCTGGATCTTGTTTCGTTGCAAATCACAAATTTAGAAATACAAAAAAGCAATGTTTCCATGTATTAAATTAGTAAAACTCATTTGCATCAATAACTTTAAATAAATATGAAACTTCATTTTTATTAACAGAACGTTTCTAGCTCAGAGGTTGATGTGCTCAACAAGTACGCAAGAGTACTGGGTTTAAGACCCAGACCAGGCAGGTCCTTACGCAATGCACTTTGTCTTCACTGCACAACAAAATTGGCCAAGGCAGAAAAGAAAAACACCATAAACACCATTGGTCTATCAAAACTAAATCAAAACTGTTCTTGTGCGTATCTAATGTACACACGTGATTTTATAGACCTTCAGTGAGTGTAAACAGTTACAAGATCTAATCCACATAGAGGATTCTATCATATGTATAACATACGGAGCTTCAGCCATTATGAAATTTATATTTAAACTTATGGCCCGCATGCAGATACTATCTCTATTAACATGCACATACCGTCATTATTCTATTAAAAAAGTGATTTAACTGCAAACAACACAGACCTGGATCTGGCGGGGCATAATGCGATAGCAGGTCTGGGTCTATGCAGTTTATTAGGACTAACTAGTGGAACAAAAACAAACAGACCATGGTCTTCAGGCGCATTATGGGACGGTAGATCATATTCCATGTTGTCTGCAGTTTGGTCTGTCTTATAAGCGAGTAAAGACGGTACAGCAGCTATCAAGGCTCAAAAAGATTACACAGTATCATGTATATTACGATGTGGTATAGATCCATGTGAGAGATCAAGCAACAAAAAAAAATACCAGGACGTAGTTACATTATTTACACTAATAGTATTCTCACACAATCCCGTTTGTTTGTAGCCCCCTACCGACTTTAAAACATAAAGGATCAAGGATATGACAAATGCACGAAACTTAATCATATCCTTCTTTGATTTATAAATTCTAACCTGAGTGTCACCAGGAGGTCCCAAAAACTGTCAACTGTTGGCGTTTCGATTCAAAAGGGCGTTTCTTTAGCAACGCGATCGCCGTATGTGCTTGGGCCAGTTTTATGTTTACCAGCAACCGCTGTAATGTTGTTCACGGTCTTTGAAGATCTCAGTAATTACTTAAATTTTGGATTTACATCTCTGAACACATGTTTACAAGGGTTCATCCTTTTTGTTTGTTCAATTTCTTTTAGAAATATTAAAACCGGACTTAACAGATATTAAAATCAGACGACAGTTTTTGCTGAAAAA